AGGATGCGGGAGGCGACGCTGAGGATGAGGATGGATCGAACCCGAAATTTTTCGACCGCCTTCTCGGTCTTAAACTTAACTTAAGATAGTTTTTCCTTGGAATTTTCAGATATACTAGATTAAATTGTGGGGTAGAGATCTCTGGGAAATCTGCAGGATTTCCAGAAAATTCATTCGACTGTTGACTTACCAACATGGTTTATGTTTAACAGAGTTGGCAGTTACGTTTTGCAAACAAGCCGAGGTTTGGGAAACTTGTTTGGCTCATCACGCCACCCGAAGCTCATCATCCACCCATAGTAGGTTGGTCAACAGCCGGAAAAAGGTACGTAACAAGGTGTCTACTTTTTTCTCATTTTGGGAAATCCTGATTTTTCCTGATTTTTGACTGCTAAATCCTGTTTTCATAATTTTTCCAAATCCTGGTCAAACCCTGATTTTTTACGGGGAAAAATTAGGCGAACACAAAAATAGCTCGATAAAAAAATCCGTTCGGACGGCCGACTTTTCTCTAATCCTGATTTTACGACCGGTTTTCCCTCAAATCCTGATAAAATCTGGATTAAATCCTGATTGACCGAAAATCCTGATAGAATCGGGGAAATCTTGATGCTGGACACCCTCGGTAATGACTGTTGCTCCTTTATACTCGTCCATGAGGAAGTGTTGAGCCCCCGAAAGTAAAAGTTTCCACCTGTCGCCAAAAGGCCAGTGGATCGTCTCTCGTCTCTGGCAGTGTAGTACAGGAACCGTCTTGGCGTCCAGGAACGGGAAACACTGATGGATGGTGCGTCTTTCTGATTCGACCGCAGGGTCCCGAGTCGCGTGCGCACCGCACACGCTCACGCGCGTTACGTAAGGGCGCACGCATCAAAAGCTCTGCGCGACACACAACAGCGATTTGTCGCGGTGCGGCGCCGGGTGGCGACGGGTTGACATTCGCGAGCTTTCTCTGCCAAAACCCGACGCCAAGGCATTATAGTGCGGGCGCATGCAGTATTACGAATTCGCATATTTTGCAACCGATGACCGTGGCTGGGCCCAGAGTCGTGGTTCCATGGCTGCGTCGAGCGTGCTACTCCACTAACTTGAGGATCACGCAATCCACGCACTCACATATGGCCGCCCATATGGCTTCGTGCTCGGCTCATCCTGCTAATCGCAGTCAATCGAGAACGAGTCACCTGAAATTTGTTCCGGAAACAACCCGTTGCCTACATTATAAAAATATTACGATGATTTACCGATGATTTAACAAAAATCAGCGTAACCGCACTAAACGCTGCCGAATTTTTTTTCGAGTGTACGCAGTATACACCCTGTACACTGGTAAAAAAAACCTCTTGGTTCAAGAGTGCACTTTCTTGTCGCCGGATTTAAGAGTCTGGACTCTTGTTTCAATGCAAAATGCGCTTGAATCAAGAGTTCAAGACTCTTAAATTCGGCGACAAGAAACTGCACTCTTAAGTCAATGCAATGCGGCATTGGTCCAAGAGGTTTTTTTTACCAGTGTATAACTTAACATTTGCGCAGCTGCAAAGTTCAATCGAGGAAACAGTAATCGACGAGAACATGATAAAAAGTAAACAAATTAGCCAATTTTACCCTGGGCCGCTTCAATTTCGACCCTCGATGCGCTCCGGTGTGCTCTGCTTCTTTATCAGGAGCAAACAACTTTTCTATCCATGCGTTCAAGTCTCTCGAAGAGACCTAGTTCAGAAAGCCGTAAGATCACGTTCAAATATTCTTCAAATTGTTTTTCAACTAGAGGAGCAGAAAAAACTTATAGTTTAAGTTAACTTTAAAATATTTCCGTCGACTGCGATGTTCTCTCAAGCTTTCTTCCATTCATTCCTATTCTTTCTCTTTTCTTTTCCTTAGCAAACCGGGCAAAATAGCCCGGAAAATCATGAAAATGTTCCAGGTAGTCTTCCTGAATAAAACTGAGGCAAAAATTAAAATAACCAAGATGTTTCGAGCGCAAATACAGTCGTCGTGAAAAAGTATGTTAAACCCGGGATGCGTATTCACGACTTTAGTTATTTAAAATTCTTGGTGTCCGTTACCGACTGCGCTACGCGAGGTCCTCGACCGAAAGGTCACCGCATACTTGAATCAGTTGGGTTAAAACCGAACAAGCCCATCAAGTGACGAGCCCCAACAAAATTAGAATGCTTATATTAAAGGTCTCGTCAAATGATTAACATGTGTGTTTTTAGCATCAACCGGTTTGATTTCAATGGACGTCACAGAATGGAGACCGAGCTGCTCTTCTAGGAAAGAAAAAAAAAACTACGAATTTAAATGGATTGGGAGGAAGATGGAGCCGCATTTCCTCTTTCGTGAGCTCTTGAGCTTCTCGGCTCATCACTAAATCCCGAAATCACTTGTCATTGAATAACAGGATTCTCATTTAAATTTCATGAATTTTTCCTGACACGCTGACGATTCTGCAACCTTCGGTTCGAATGAATGCTATTTGTTGCACAACACGAAGCAAGATTTAAAAAAATTAAGAGCCGAATTATTAGCAAGCTTTAGAGCTTTGCAAATTCTTCGAACGTAAAACTTGAGAGTCAGTTTTCGTGGGGGTCTAAACGGACTACGTTTTGCTTTAAGGAACCACTCATTCTGGATTACTCAAAGCATCTACCTGTTAACAGGAACTAATGACGCAAACGTCGTTTTTAAAATAAGCCACATATAATGTTTCCTTATTGTAAAATTTAGTTAAAATAAGGATAGGACAATAAGGGGCGAAGGGACGAAGTGACGAACAACCCTCGTTTGTAAATGCATTGAAAAATAGCACATTAAAAAAAATGTATTTCTATCAAAATTACCAGGCGAGCAGGCGGAATTCGAGACCGAGAAATCATTAGAGTGATAAAGTCAGACAAAAGCATTCCTGACATTGAAACTAAAACTGTTTAGTACGGTAAAAAAAAATCGATTTGGGGTCAATATAGCTGATTAGTAAGTTTTCGATGCTTAAGGCATCATCACTCTTAAGCACAGTGGACCCAAATATCAAGCTATAATTTATGTAGAATGATTAATGAAAATTTTAAAATGCGGTGTTTCAAAATGAGGTAAGAGCCGCTCATAAACTTTAATCTCCAATCAAATGATCATTTTTTCGACTTTCTTTGTGTCCTTCACGCCAAATGATCAGAACATACTTCTCTAAACTGTGATGAAACTACACTGGGAAAAAAACACATTGAATCTAGAGTCCAGACTCTTAAAAACATCGACAAGAGAAAATACTCTTGATTCAATCGGATTTAAGCTTAAATCAAGAACCCAGCCTCTTAATTTGAGCGGATTTCCTTTTGATTTAAGCATAAATCTGATTGAATCAAGAGTATTTTTTCTTGTCAATGTTTTCAAGAGTCTGGACTCTAGGTCCAATGTTTTTTTTTTTTTTTTTTTCTTTTCTTTTTCCCCCATTATTCACCTTCCTCAAGGGCCCTTTTGCCTAACTCCACCTTAAATACATCGGAGAGCAATAAGACGAGGGTGGGGCCTTGGGCATGGGGCAAGGTACACGACTCGGCAGCAAACCCGATTTTAATAGAGTGGGAAGAGGCGAGCCCAGAGTAAGATCGCTACACGATGTCAGAACATGTTTTAAGGAGAATTTCCTACACCAGCATCGACACCTCCGGAGTCTTCCCCCACTCCTCGCTCCGCTGCCAACGCGAATTTGCATCCGACAACGTCAGTCACTATTAAAAGATTTCGCCTCTTACACAATCTCAAACAGCCATTATCGCCTTTTTTTCTTCTTATTTTTCCTGCCGAGGGAAGATCAACATGTAAAGTAGCCAGCGTATAGATCGTTTGAAAAATCCGAGGAAAATTTATTTCTTCCCCGTGGCGATTAGATTGACGATGGGGGCAGGTGGAGGATCGTGGGGAAAAATTACTTACGATAAAGCTCGAGGTGTTTTGATCGGTTGGCAGCAGGTTGACGGTTAAACGGCTACTGGGCGCCATCACGTGGTCAATATCGTCTGAGGTTAATACGACCTTTTTATGCGACAGCGGTAATCTTACCTATGACGGGTGTCTTATTTGCAAAGATTATGTACAATTTAATGGAATTACTTTCCCTCTCGATCAGCGTTTTCGAGCTTTATTACGCGTGGAGAAGTATGTCAGATTTAAAATGTTTATTGACTTCATTAGAGCAAAGGAGCTGTTTTTGTTGGGAGGAAAATCCATCGAATTCGTTTTCCGAATAGACTCGCCGGAAAAATGTGCACGTGTCGCAGATGAATTGGAAAATCGGGCATTTTGTTAAGTGCCTGGGCAAATAGTCAAATGTTCTTACTGATATTAAAATGTTGACTTTTTCCCTAATATTAGACAAAATAATTAATCGTTCCTATGATAAAGAATTATCTTTAAAAACATGCACAACAGAATAGCATTTAAATGATTTTCAGCTCCTAAACAAACATTTATCTTGAAATTTTCAGCTCCTTCTTACTGATATTAAAATGTTGACTTTTTCCCTAATATTAGACAAAATAATTAATCGTTCCTATGATAAAGAATTATCTTTAAAAACATGCACAACAGAATAGCATTTAAATGATTTTCAGCTCCTAAACAAACATTTATCTTGAAATTTTCAGCATGTCATACAATGCAGAATGTTTAAAATTCTAACATTTAAATATATAAGACGTGCTTGAAGAGGAAGAAACGAGAGTTCGCCGATTTGATGAGAAATTTTCCTCAAAATACTGAAAATTCGTAAACTCCTCGCCATAGATTTACAAAAATCTCAAAATTTGACTATCTGCCCGGGCATTTGATACAATGCCTAATTTGACTGATTGCCTTCAACACATACACCACGCCCCTTCCGATCGGCTTTGGAGAGGAATTCATAACAATAGGATAGTCGACAACACATACATAGAAATTCTGCATTCGAATTTTTTCTTTGAGATAAAAGAGAGAGAAAGACAAGTAACTTGACTTACATTCTTTGTTCTTATCCATTGATTTTCTTAAGGGTGAGTAGTCTACTTCAGCTTTTGGCGGAGAGCGTGGAATAGGGACAACAGGGCCTCTGACCGGAGCAGCGGGGTTCCGCTGCGCCATCCCTTGGACGTCCTTAAACCACTCAGGGTAGATAGCTGCTAGCGTATCCAGAAGATCCTGATCCAAGGGGATGTCCCAGGACAGAGAATGGTCGCCGTCACTATTCTCTGCAACAAAAATATAAAGAGCAACTATTAGTTCGCTACATAACATCTTAAAGCAACGGAAAATTCACGTGTCTACAGAAAAAGAAAATAAACACCGAGAAGACAATAATAACTATAATACGAAAGAATTAAGAGTGCGCCTCACCGTCAGCGGGGTCTTGCGATAAAAATTGTTTTTTGGTAATTGAATAGCTTTTAATTAAGGAAGAAAAATTCAGACATTAGAACGATGAGATAATTCAAAGAAAAGTTCGCAAGCTTTAACATAATTTTAACCAAAGTCGCAAGGCATCGAAGAGAGCCGAAAAGACGAAGACAATCAAAGCCGAATCAAGAGGAGGAATATGGAGAACAGGAAGAAGAGAAGAGGAAGCAGAAGAAAAAATGAGAATAATAAGGAAGAAGAAAAAGAAGAAAAAGAAGAAGAAGAGGAAGAAAGATGAAGAAAGAATCAGAAAAAGAAGAAGAAAACGAACTCGTTGTTCCTTTCCTCTTTCTATGCGTCTTCTCCCCATTCCTCCGCATCGTCATCATCTTCTTCCTTGTCGTATTCTCCCTTCTCTTTTTCATTTTCTATCTTTTCCGATGCATAGTAAATCCTCAGCTGATATACCTTCAGGGTGTCTACTGAAGTCCACAAAAATAAAATGAGTACTTTTTAAGTACTTTTTAGGTACTTAAGGAAAAATTTAAGTACCTCGCCTTGGGGAAAAATTAGGTACTTTTTAAGTACCTTTTCGCGACGTATCGCAATTCTTCGATTTTGTCACTGCCGCGCGCTTTACTTCGGCTATTACCGTGGCCTTTTCGCCTGTTTCCGTCAAATCGAGGGAAATGCCTTGTTCCGCTCCTCTACAACAACCGCGCTCTTACGGGCTGACATTGTACTAATACACCTGACGGCCAACGCACAGAGGGTTGCATAACTATCAGGTAATCGAACTGAACGCGCAGCGCAAAATGCGAAAAATTACGGACCTTCCGCGAGATTTACGTACTTTTAAGGTACTTTCGGACCGATCTTGAAAAATGCGTACTTTTTCCGGACTTTACGGACTGGTAGACACCCTGTACTTCGAGAATCCTCCTGGGATCCTGGATCTATCAGACTAGAGCTAAGGGAGGACCCACCCGACTCGTCCCAACGTGCCGAATATTCGAGGAAGAGGACGACAATTTGCAGGCGCGGGTTCTCGCCGGTTGATTAATGGACGCGAATCCCACGCCGGGTCGCGCGCCCGGCGGCCCCGGCCCGCCCGCTACACCGTCGGCGTCCGGCAACAGCTCGCTCGACCCACGCGACTCGCGCTCACCTCTTCATCCAGTCGCACCGACTTCACTGATCACTCCTCCGAGCAGCTCCACCACGTCCTCCTCACGTTGCGCCGGGCAATGGACCGTCATATGACGTCACCGCCAATCCAAGCTCACACGTCATCCACGTCATGTTCTCCCCTCAGAGTAGTTCCTGGGTCCGACAAGCAAACTTCCATCGAGGATTGAAACATGTTTTCAACCATTTTCCAACGGTTTTTTTTTATCGAATTGGTGAGGATTACGCGACTAAGTTGTGCTCCTGGTGACGTAGTCTTGTCACCGTTAACGACATCGCAACGACTTGATTAAAACTCCTTAATCTTAGGTTAAAACATCAAAGCCTTTCTGAAAGGCGAACTGAAGGATTTAAGTGGCTAATGTAAATGCTTTTCACGTGACTGATTTTTTGCAAAATTCCGCTCTGTCGATACTGCATTTGAGTACGATCGAAGCCTTTCAAAAGTTCTGATTACAAACAAGAAAATTTTACGTTTAGGTTTTCCCTGACTTTTTCAGCATGATATCGAAAGTTTCATACTTGTTTTTGATAGCTAATTTGACGGACGTTCATTTAGGTTTTTAAATTGTTTTTATTATAGAGTGAAACATAAAGACCAATTTCTTTTTTATTTGTTAATTTTGGGCTTGTTCATGTTCAACATGTTAAACGAGTTCTGAGTTGTATTGGGGGGGGGGGAGGATATTTTGTGGTTCTTAAGATTTTACCACGCTTAGTAGTCCATTTCACTGTTGGATCTATTTTCCATACCGCCTTGCTAAGGAAAAACGTCATGCAAACACGCAGGCGTTCCCTAAAATCTCTAGATAGGATGACATTCCCTAGAAAACTGGCGGAATCGTTTTCGTTAAATTTTTCAGAGAATTATTCAGTTCAGTGTAAGAAATTTTCAAAGCAAAGTATGCACATTTTTTTTTAAAAAAAAAAATAAATATTTCGCTGGGAGGGATTTGACAACATTCGAATGCTCATGAGTTGTTTTTCCCTAGCACGGCGATATAAAACGTTCGACTAATTCAAATAGCCCTTTTTTCAGTGTCAAAACTCATTCTCGACAGGAAAAGAAGCATGATGACCCGACGGATGTTTTTGGCACGACGAGTACCAGTCAGTGCTCGCGTGGAAAACACCGTAAAATTCTCCCGGCGGCTTTGCGGATTAACTCTTGCGGGGCAGATGACTCGGATGCTATGCCTTTATGAAATAATGTAATTAATTGCATATTTCATTGTTACCTTGTTCCGGCTAACAAAGTAACTCGGTGATGAATCGCGCTGACTCGCCTGACCCCGTCTGCACCGTCGTTTGGCCGACTCCCAAAAAAAAAGAAACTTCGTCTATTCCGACCGCGACCGTAGAGCCGTACTGCCGTGCTAAGGAAAAACGCCGTATGAACATTCGAGAGTTGCCACATTTCCTTCGATAAAATGTTCATTTTTGAGGAAACTCCTGAATATTTTCCCTTAAAATTTTTAGAACTTTTCGGTGGAATTGCGAGCAAAATTACTAGAAAAATCGGAAGGAAAATATTCATAAGTTAACTGGGAAATTCGTGTTTTATCAAAGGAAATTTGGCAACGCCTGAAGGCTTATATGACGTTCTTCCTTAGTGCGGCAGAGTAGACTACACGCTGCACGGGGAGTCGTCAAACGGAGCGGCGGCAAGGAGACAGGTGGAGGGGCAATATCCAGCCCACCTCCTCGACCGAGAACCTGGAAACTCCGGTAAATGTTTCGTGGGAAAAATGATCAATATGTGATAATATAGGTCGTATTCGATGCATCGAACAGGCGAGATTGTATCGATATCGATTGGTTCAACATGTAAGCATAACCTCAAAAGTCAATTGAAGAATCTGAGTGAACGGGTTTTTTGTGATTGATTTTTGATTTTTAATACTTATGAGTACAGAATAGCAATGAAGAGTGAAATTGTTAGGAATTTTTTAATTTCCAGCTTAAACTCAGGGTTTCCTGATGTGCTCGTCGTGATTTTTGAATCACTCTTCAAGAGGAACAACTTGCTTTAGCGAAACGTATAGTAAACACATTGTATTACTCGTGGCTGTCCATGGTTGTTCCTTTCCGATCGAAGCAAAATCACGACAGTGATTTTAAAAGACGCGCGGTGCTGATCGTACGGCTGCGCTGCTGACGAAACGGGCTCATAGAAACGCCTTCATTTCGTTAATTATGCACCGCGCACAACCATGGAACACGAATAGTTGCATCAAGACATCATGAACCAGAGCATTCATACTGGCTGAAGTTGCAGAGCTGTCGCACTACTCCTGAACTTTTCCACTTTTTCCCGATCGCCCCAAATTCCATATCGCCACCTTCCGGCCAAAGTATCACATGCGCCATGCGACGTTTGAAAATTTCCGCCGCTATTTTATTTTTTTACCGAGAAATTGCGGGTTGAATCTGTTTGCAGATTTCACGGAATTTTATTGGCAGCACGAAGAAAATTCAGTGACATTTTCGGACAGCTTCGTTACACAATTTCTCCATGAAAAAATGAAATGGCGACGGAGAGGGAGAGGTGACAAAAATGTCCTGATTTTCCCAATTTTCCCAGACCATAGGAAACCCTGCACATATTTGACCAGGATCATCGTGGCAATTTCTGCAAACGAGCATTGCAAAGGGACCGAGATGAAGCCGTGCGGAATCTGGAGTGAAGACGATGGGGAGCTTTTAGTTCTACTTCGGGGACTCGAGTTGGGTCGGCCGGTCGGCGGGGGCCGGTATGCCACATTTGGACGAATTTAAATCAAAAGGGACCACATCCATTCTGGCATGAGCCCTGGGATCAGTAAGAATCCACGCATGACAGCGCTCGTGTCACGGCGGATACAGTCCCTTTTGATTTAGATCCGTCCATAAGCCGAGCCCGGCGGCGACGGGGACGGTAGCCCGGCCCGGACTCGTAATGGACAATTTCCAAATAGGAGATTGTGTGAGCATTGTACTCGCATCTTTCAAAATTTGAGCATTGTTGAGCCCAAGCCAAATATGTCGACAGCCTTATGCTCCCGTCTCGTCTACCTGTGTGTAATTAAGTAGCCTATCTTGAATAGTCTCCCCCGAACTGGGAGCAGCGCCCCCCCCCCCCCCCCCCCCNCGCTGGCTGATATCTCACTTTGAAGATTTATTATTGTCACGCTCTCGGCTCCCGGCTGGCTTCGGATCCTCCGAAAGCCCCCGAAGCCCCGATGCCAATTCCTCAACGTCAATCCTCCGACTTGTCTTCACGTCTTCCCGAGCCCCCTTTTTTTTTCACCCCTGTCTCGCCGACTCGGATCTTCCTATCATTCCACTGGATTAAGTTCGAGAGGTCATAACTAGAGTCCCTTGATACTGAGAGTCAAGACAACACCCCCTCATGGAGTCGCAAACGGGAATAAAGATTACAGAAATTGAACGTTTTTCGTAATCTTTGATCGGCCCATTCTCATTCCTTTCTCCGTTCCTTCTCTTATTCCGTTTGTTCCTTGCCGAACCCGTAATTCCCCGGTCCATTCCAGATTATAATCTTTGCAATCGGCGAAAATGTAATCTTTATTCCCGTTTGTGACACCGTGAAGGCCTAAAATACGGGAACCAATCAGAAATGGATTCACATTGTCTTGACTCTCAGTATATAGGGACTCTAGTCATA